TTACACTTTACACTCCACACTGCACACTTGACGCTCCACACTCCACACTTTACACTCCACACTCCACACTTTACACTTTACACTCTACACTTTACACTCTACACTCCACACGTTACACTCCACACTCCACACTTTACACTCCACACTTTACACTTTACACTTTACACTCCACACTCTACACTTTACACTCGTCACTCTACACTCCCCACTTTCCACTTTACACTTTACACTCCATACTCCACACTTTACACTCCACACTCCACACTCTACACTTTACACTCCACACTCCACACTCTACACTTTACACACTACACTTTACACTTTACACTCTACACTCTTCACTCTCCACTCCACACTTTACACTTTACACTGTGCACTTCTCACTCCACACTTTACACTTTACACTCTACACTTTACACTCTACACTTTACACTCTACACTCTACACTCCACACTTTACACTTTACATTGTACACTTCTCGCTCCACACTTTACACTTTACACTCTACACTTTGCACTCTACACTCCACACTCCACACTCTACACTCCACACCTTACACTTTACACTGTGCACCCCTCACTCCACACTCCACACTCTACACTTTACACTCTGCACTTTACACTTTACACTCCACACTCCATACGCTACACTGTACACACTACACTTTACACTCTACACTTTACACGCCACACTCCACACTCTACACTTGAACACGCCACACTCCACACTCTACACTTGACACACTTCACTTTACACACGACACTCTTCACTCTACACTCCATACTTTACACTTTACACTTTACACTCCCCACTCCTCACTGCACACTTGACACTCCACACTCCACACTTTACACTCCACACTCTACACTTTACACTCTACACTTTACACTACACTTTCCACTCCACACTCCACACTCTACACTTTACACTTGGCATTTCCGTCATTTTCTTTGGTTTTCTCCTACCTTTTTGCTGCCGTTCCTCCACTTTCCTCCGTTTCTCCCTCCGTAACCGCCTGTAACCTCCCGTGACCTCCCGTGACCTCCCGGCCAGGATTTAGCCTAAAACGGCCGTTTTGCAATGATCCCAAAAGAGAAATTGAATCGGCGGCCGAGGGGCGGCCAAATGGCAGAAATTTGCTCCCGTGACCTCCCGTGACCTCCCGGCTAGGATTTGGCCCAAGACGGCCGTTTCCCAATGATCCCAGAAGAGAAATTCAATAGCCGACCGAAGGGCCGATAAATGGCAGAAAGTTGCTCCCATGCCTCCCAGTAGGATAGGAGTAGGCTTATTAAAGACTTTGCCACATCCCTTTAACAAGACACACACACACACATTGATTGGTTATGACAGTGTCCTCCACTTGTCAAAAGGCACCCTTTCATAGCTCCCAAGCAGTACCCCAAACTTGGCATTCGAGGTAACGGATGGTAACAGCATGTTTGTTTCGATGTTAGCCTAGCAACTCTTGCGCTGGTCATTGTGCCAGGGGGTCGCAACCAAACAGAAATAATCCATAAACTTGGATGTGGATAACTGCCTCCAAAATGGAGCCACTAAATTATGTCTTCTAGTTAGAGGAGCAACCATGATATGACCAATCCTATTCGAGTTTAGCATAGGTTGGAATCCACCGACTGCATTGAAACCATTCCCGATGATCTGGGGGTAGCAAAATGTGATGCCAAATGACCATGGCCCACGCGTAGACATGAAAGACATATAAATAAATATATATATGGGACCAATCTAGGCTGCCAGACCAATTATATTGAATAATATATTATATATATCCATAAAATTGGTGATTTGGGGGGTGGTTTATGGCAGTCGGTGGATTCCAACCTATGCTAAACTCGAATAGGATTGGTCATATCATGGTTGCTCCTCTAACTAGAAGACATAATTTAGTGGCTCCATTTTGGAGGCAGTTATCCACATCCAAGTTTATGGATTATTTCTGTTTGGTTGCGACCCCCTGGCACAATGACCAGCGCAAGAGTTGCTAGGCTAACATCGAAACAAACATGCTGTTACCATCCGTTACCTCGAATGCCAAGTTTGGGGTACTGCTTGGGAGCTATGAAAGGGTGCCTTTTGACAAGTGGAGGACACTGTCATAACCAATCAATGTGTGTGTGTGCCTTGATAAAGGGATGTGGCAAAGTCTATTATAAGCTTACCATTTGGGGAGGATTGAAATCCTACCCATAAAATTGGTGATTTGGGGGATGGTTTATGGCAGTCGGTGGATTCCAACCTATGCTAAACTCGAATAGGATTGGTCATATCATGGTTGCTCCTCAACTAGAAGACATAATTTAGTGGCTCCATTTTGGAGGCAGTTATCCACATCCAAGTTTATGGATTATTTCTGTTTGGTTGCGACCACCCCTGGCATAATGACCAGCCATTCCTCCATCTTCCTCCATTTTCCACCCGTTTCCACCCGTTTTCAACGATTTTCCTTCGTTTTTTTCCCCTGTTTTCAACGATTTTCCTTCATTTTCCTTGCTTTTTTCCTCCCTTTTTCCTGCCGCAGTCAACGGACCTAGGGGGAATCGAAGCCTACCGTCACCTCTTTGCGTAGTGGTACATGCCCCCCAAAAAAGTTCAATGTACCCACCCTCCACTGCAAGTAATTTCGAGATTTTGGCGCCATACGCGACGACCACCCCCCAGACCCCTAATACTCACTTCGTTCGCCAAAACAACTTTGCCTAGCCTATCGGCTGGCTTTCGTAACAGTTTCTAAGGGTTCGACTCTTCTATTGCCTATTCCTATCTCTAGCTTTCGAGACTTCATGTTTGAAATTGAAGATGATGTCAGAACTTTGTGCACTTCACCGGACTTCACCTTGGCGATATTACGTGATGGCTCTTGCCTCAATCGACCACCGGGGTGCAGCAGCACGAAAAGGCACTCTGGATAGCCTAGCGCACAAGGCGCATGAACCAATGAGACTGCCAACTTGCCACAGCAAGCCTGCCACAGGTCCAGCACTGCACAGTACTGCTCCGCAGCCTGCTCGACAAGTGTTTTTTGCTTTGTTTCACTTGTTCACGTTTGTTCAAAGAAATGCATGCAGAAGCCCCTAGCCTGCTCGTGAACTGCTTCCGCCATTCTCGGCACATCATGTTCCAAGAAGACTTCCGCCTGGTCATTTTCACTGCGATCTCTATATTCAATCATATTCATATAATGTGGGTAAAACAATAATAAACCACCCGCTTGGGAATGGTTTATACCACCTATTTTTGGTGATTTGGGGGATGGTTTATTATCGCTTTACCCACATTATTACTTGGTTTCGTCTCATGCTGAAGTGATTCCACAACTGTAACCAATCCTCCAATGCGCCAAAAAAAAAAATCTCCCAGCCTTTCGCCCACGTGGCGCCGAGTTTGAGGCATACTCGGCAGGAAGCCAATCCAGGGCAAATCCCGCGAATTGCCATTCAGCCATGTTTCAAACCCTGGCGGTCCAGCCTGATCTTTTAACTCCAGCTGTCTTGAACGATGAGGACTAACGTCTAGTGCTGGAAGTCCATTGGTGTTTTGTTGCGATTTCATAAATTCAAATGCCGTTTAGCAAACCTATGTAAAACCAATGTAATACCGCATAAATAGTAACAAATTAACATCAAATAACATTTCAGGCACGAGAATTGGGAACGAAGGTATTGTATCCTGACTCTGTGCAAGCCAACCATCGCACTCAGAAGCTCTCAGCTCTCACAACACATACAGTGACATACAGCATCTTAAATGTCGTTGTCTTTGAAGCCTCTTGGCGGCACCAGAAATGTGGCAGACACTCATCAATACCTTCGCAGCTCTGTCATTTCGGGAGTCTGGCCAGCACGTAACGATATCAAGGTTGCTTGGAATAATCTTATATAATCTTATATACCTGTGTGGAACAACGGGGACGGGTTCCAAAACCAGGTCTGCCATCAAGACCATCCTTTTCTACTGCAATGGTGCAATGGTGCTGCTTTTCAGCTAATTCCACATTGCAGTAGCTGCAGGGATCAACCGAAGCTGTCGAAGCAAATGTGTTCCTGTCCTAATCCTGTCCTAATGGAGTTTTAAGGCGCTGCCCCAAAGGCTGTAAGTTTCACAAAGACCATGAAAGAGCGAGGTTGGAAAAACGAGAATCAGAATCTGTCAAAGGTCCCAAAGTGAAGCGAGTGCGGCGCTGGCGCAAGTCCCTCTGGCTCAAAATGACCCTGCAGCTCTTTACAATGTGAGGTGGCGCCCAAGCGCCGACCGGAGGAGCGGGATCAGGGCATCAGCAGTGTGATATCACTCTTGGTGGACCCCATGTGGATTTTAATGAGAACAAGCAGCCCTGAAACATTCCGGAACCATGGCAATTGAGAAGTCAGGTCGCTCCTGCAATTTGCTCCCTCTCCTCCCGCGTGACCTTTGGCATACTTTGCCTGCAGGATCAGCTCGCAGCAGATCCCATGCTACCTTGCACGTTGCTGGCTGGGCCATTGGCAGATGTTAAAGAGTGAGAATAATCCTGTGCTTTAGTTCTCAACTCCATCTTCCTCCTGGTAACACGAGATTGCTACAAGACTTCGGGCAGTCTCGACACTCGAGGCCGCGTCTCTGGATGACATAATCATGTGGATGAAAATCTGACTGGCTGGTATGTTATTGCCATTAGACTTCAAGGACAATTTGCTGAATCTTCGGGTAGGAACTCATCAGTGTTACAATTCTAATTGATTCCAGCATCAATTGCTTGAAGTGGTCAAGTCTTCGGCTCGCTGTTCCAGGTCATCCAGAGAATCAAGAGTGTTTCTACCTGTCTGAGCAAATTCCACGCGCAGTATGAGATCCATGGGCTACATCGCCGTGACCTCTTGGCAATTCGCTTCAAGACACTGCCACTTGACGACACATAGAAAGCCATCTTCCGAACGCTCCTGTAATTACAGTTCGTAGAATATGAAGTGCTGGACCTACAAAGCCATGCCTCCAAGATCTTAGGGCAGCTCCATGGCATCTTTTATAAGTCCACACGTCCACGTCTTTCCTGATGATCTGACAATGTCAATCCGAGTCAATCCGTGGCGAATCAGTCAGACACTACGGTACAAACGACCCGCTCACATCAAATTGGCCAACTGGCAAACGCTCTTCTGAAATGTGGCTTCGACAGCCACTTCAGGCGAAGAGCAAAGTGCAGTTCAGCTGCTGTTTCCGGCTTCTGTGATTCGGCGACGCTTGCCTTGGCTGCGACACACATCATGTCAACTACCCTGCTGCTTCAAATATCCATGGGCGATGGCTGCATGTGGGCGTGCGGAAAATTGTTTTGTTGACGCATCTAGCTATTGATCTTGCCAGTTGATCTCTGAAGTGCTGAGTTTGATTCGCACCCACACAAACTAATTACAAATACGAAGCCCACACGTTCTCCAAAATTCCCAATGCCCACAATTGCTTCAAGTTGCGTGGCTTCTCTGGCGATTCCTTGGTGCTTCAATGCCTTTTAGATCCTTTTAGTTTCTGAATTGAAGTGGCTCAATTGTGATCGCAAACTACTATGAGCAAGCATACGAGCAAGCATACGGTGAGCTCAAGTGTAGCTAGATTTCAATCATTTCGATCTCAGGTCTGCTGCCACCGTCTCTTTGAGATTGGAAACTCTAGTCGGGTCTACAATTCTTTTGAGGCATAGTATAATTCTAACTTGGAATGCTTTCCTTCACTGCAACTATTTGTTCCACTGGATACGTGGAGAAAGCAAGTGATCAGTTGCTGTGGAAACAAGGCCAAATAACAATGAAATACGGAATCTCATGAAATCTCAATTAATTCCAACCATGCTTAGACGAGCTTCAGGATCTATTTTCTTCACAATCTTCTCACATGTCTGCAAGAGCTTCTCCAACCCAGCCTCCTGCAGTACCTGAGGCCAACCAAATCAACCAATGAATTGACAGCCCCAGTGAAATCAACTGCAAAAGCATGGTGTGCCCATGGACTCTTGCATCTGAATAAACAAGTTGCTGTGAGAGTTATGTTTTTGGAGTTTTCACACAACCAGATTGAACATGTGTTAAAATCATGTTGTATCCAGTCTAGGAGTATCTCTGCTTGTTTCTCTTGTTTCTCACTACAAGCAAATTGGTCGCCAACAAATTGTCTCACTATAGTATCCCAACAAAACATAAGTCGAGTTGCATAATTTACATAATCAAAAACCTCTAAAAATCTCTAAGACTTGTTTGAGTGATTAAAGAGGGTTGGTAATGCATCACCAGCTCTGAGGCACGGCCGAAGTTCTGGCCTGATTGGACTGCTCCGCCCATGATGCCAGGTCGAAAAGAACATCTAGTACAACCTAGCTAGGCATAGCAGCATGAGTGTTGGAAAAACCTCATAGTTTATCCTCCTTCCATCCAGCTTGACGAATGGCTTGATGCATCAAGATGTTCCTTGATGGAAAAGTATGGAAAAATAAACTTCCACGCAGCTCCAAGCGGGTCCAAAGCAGGTCCAAAGCAGGTCCAAGCCTTGCGCCGCTTGCTACCAAGTGACATGTATCGTGATCCAAAGAGTGAAGGCCTGGACCACAAGGCATACAGTAGTGAAATGTGGAAAATGTGGATATGAAATGATATGAACACACAGTGCAACATACTAGTAGGGAACATCCCAAGCTTTGGTTGTCCCTAAATTAATCTAAATTACTAAAGTGAACCGAAAATTGCCGTGAAAAAAAGCTGCTGCGTGCTGGACACCTAGGATGTTGGCCCGTCCAATCAGTCCACTCAGTCCACTCAGTGCACTCAATCCACTCCTCCAAGAAGCCAGCGGGGCTCCCAGCGTTCGCTGTGTTGGCCAACGGAGCCGTCAGCCTCGGTGGCGCATCAGCAACTCCCATGGGCCAGGTAGATGGAGATCACATCCCAAAGATAATTCGTCCAAGACATTTTCCCACGCCGTGTTGCAAAGGCTTGAAAGAAAAATCGTCTTTGGCAATTGCAGTACTTTCGTCCTGCAGCAGCAAACAAACAATACAATGTCATGACTATTTGTGCATCTATACACAAGTATACAATATTATACACACATACAGGTGCGTCTGAAAATGGTGAATACCAAATACCCACAAATGGCCACTTTGATATAGCGATTGTCATACCACGCTGTAGGATACAACAGGATGCAGTCCACTGGGGGTATTGGAACAATATCCACTCAACCTTTGGTTGAAGCACGTTTCTTCCGACCGCTGCCCCCTGCAGATTGCTGCAGCATACATGTCAAAATGGTCAGGTTGACATTGACAAAAAAGCATCGCTCTTATGAGGCGTTCTGGTTTCTGATTTAATGTGATTTGTCCAAAGGATGTTGAAAGCAACAACAACTGACCCAAGGAGTCTCACATTCATATTTATCTCCTTGTGCAAGAACTCCACAGCCTCATGCAAAGTTGTGCAGAAGTCCTGCAAGACCCAAGGCATCCCAAGGCTCTAACACCAGAGATTCAACCCGATGTACCGCTTCCAAAACCTATCAAACATCAGCACTCAACGAGGCCACGACTACAAAGTCTGTGTGGGCTTCAGGCAACTCTCTAAGAGCACATAAAGTTGAATTCCAACCCTTCCCAACTGCCACCTTGGCTTGTGTGGGATCTAGGCTTGCTTCTTTGCGGAGCCGGCGAAGGGTCCAAGCCACCTTGCCAAATTTCAGCGCCGGATATTGTCGGCTGAGAATTCAAAATGCCGTTTCCCATGGGCCTGCTCGAGATCCTCGCGGCAAGAGCGTGCTTGGGAGAGGAGCACACAAGGCAGGACACAAGGCAGGCTTCCGCCTGCGGCCTCACAAGGTCTTTGTATCACCAAAGGCATGAGGACGCGGGCATGAGATTCGCATAATCCATTATCCAGTCGTTTCTGGGTTTTGCTGAGGGTCAGAGCAACAAAAAAACAGTGGAAACACAGTACGGCCGCAGAACTGGCCTGCGCATGTCGGCAGGTAGCCACCATCAAGTAAAATCGCAATTTTTCCTCAGTTTTTGACGTCCAACGTCCATTTCGTGCGACAGGGTTGCGATTGACCAAGTAAAATCGCAATTTTTCCTCAGTTTTTGACGTCCAACGTCCATTTCGTGCGAAAAGGTTGCCGGGGACGCATCAAAGTCGCAATTTTTCACCAATTTTTGACGTCCAACGTCCATTTCGTGCGAAGGGGTTGCGATGGACGCTTCAAAATCGCAATTTTACCTAGGTTTTGGACGTCCAACGTCCATTTCGTGCGAAAGGGTTGCGTTTCGTGGCGCTCCGGCGGCACCGCCCCTGGCCTTAAGAGAGAGATAGAAAGAAGAGCGAGAGAAGATCCGCAGATGTGAGGGTGTGAAGATGTAGATCTGCAGATGTGAGGGTGTGAAGATGTAGATCTGCAGGTGTGAGGGTGTGAAGATGTAGATCTGCAGGTGTGAGGGTGTGAAGATGTAGATCAGCAGATGTGAGGATGTGAAGATGTAGATCTGCAGGTGTGAGGGTGTGAAGATGTAGATCTGCAGGTGCGAGGATGTGAAGATGTAGATCTGCAGATGTGAGGATGTGAAGATGTAGATCAGCAGCAGGTGTGAGGATGTGAAGATGTAGATCTGCAGATGTGAGGATGTGAAGATGTAGATCTGCAGGTGTGAGGGTGTGAAGATGTAGATCAGCAGGTGTGAGGATGTGAAGATGTAGATCTGCAGATGTGAGGATGTGAAGATGTAGATCAGCAGGTGTGAGGATGTGAAGATGTAGATCTGCAGATGTGAGGATGTGAAGATGTAGATCAGCAGGTGTGAGGATGTGAAGATGTAGATCTGCAGGTGTGAGGGTGTGAAGATGTAGATCAGCAGGTGTGAGGATGTGAAGATGTAGAGCAGTGTGAGGTGTGAAGATGTATTATAACGGCTGCTTTTTTACGAAGAACCCTTCGCAGGCGCTCTCGGGAAAAACAAAAATCGGCTCCTTACAAAATGGTTGCCCCAAGTTAATTTCCAGGCCCCCAAACCCAATCATCGTATAAGCTTGTGTATTAAAAAATTGTTTGTTTGGAAACATGTCTTACTTGTACAAGTCCAACTTTCCCCAGGGAACCCCACAATTTTTTCCCAGTCGCCAAAGTTTGGAAAAAAAAAACCAGAAAGTTTGATATCACCTTTTCTGGTTGGTTGACTTAGTGCTGTCTTGCCGGTTCTTCACACATCAATGGTGGAACCCAAAAAAAATTAGAGAAGAAACCCTGGTTCCTGGACATGGCCAAGATTTCAATACCCTTTTTTGCACTGCCTGAAATGAACCCAAAACTGCGTTATGAAATGATTGGCCCCGAGTTCATTTTGTAAAGAAAGTTGGTTCGCCAAGCAAAAAACACATTTTTTACAAAATGGCATGGTTGACCAGAAAAATGTCCTTACAAAATGCATCCTTTTGTTAGAAAAATGCCCCTGGAATGGAACATGGGTCAAGCCATTTCATAGTGGAAATGTACACAAGGATACACTTTACACTATACACTCCTCACTCCTCACTGCACACTTTACACTCCAGATCCACACTTTACACTCCACACTCTACACTCTACACTTCACTCTACACTCTACACTTTGCACTTTAGACTCCACACTCCACACTCTACACTTTACACACTACACTTGACACTTTACACTCCACACTCTACACTCTACACTCCACACTTTCCACTTTACACTTTACACTCCATACTCCACACTTTACACTCCACACTCTACACTTTACACTCCACACTCCGCACTCTACACTTTACACACTACACTTTAGACTCTACACTCTTCACTCTCCACTCCATACTTTACACTTTACAATTTACACTTTACACTCCTCACTGCACACTTGACGCTCCACACTCCACACTTTACACTCCACACTCTACACTTTACACTCTACACTCTTCACTCTACACTCTACACTCCACACTTTACACTCTACACTCTACACTTTACACTCTACACTCCACACTCTCCACTCTACACTTTACACTCTACGCTCCACACTTTCCACTTTACACTTTACACTCCATAATCCACACTTTACACTTCACACTCCACACTCCACGCTTTACACTCCACACTTTGCACTTTACACACTACACTTTACACTCTACACTCTTCACTCTCCACTCCATACTTTACACTTTACACTTTACACTTTACACTCCACACTTCACACTTGACGCTCCACACTCCACACTTTACACTCCACACTCTACACTTTACACTCTACACTTTACACTCTACACTCTACTCTCCACACTTTACACTTTACATTGTACACTTCTCGCTCCACACTTTACACTTTACACTCTACACTCCACACTCCACACTTCACACTCCACACTCCACACTTTACACTCCACACTCTACACTTTACACTCCACACTCTACACTTTACACTCGTCACTCTACACTCCCCACTTTCCACTTTACACTTTACACTCCATACTCCACACTCTACACTCCACACTCTACACTTTACACTCCACACTCCACACTCTACACTTTACACACTACACTTTACACTTTACACTCTACACTCTACACTCTTCACTCTCCACTCCACACTTTACACTTTACACTGTACACTTCTCACTCCACACTTTACACTTTACACTCTACACTTTACACTCTACACTTTACACTCTACACTCCACACTCCACACTTTACACTTTACATTGTACACTTCTCGTTCCACACTTTACACTTTACACTCTACACTTTACACTCTACACTCCACACTCCACACTCTACACTCTACACTCCACACCTTACACTTTACACTGTGCACCCCTCACTCCACACTCCACACTCTACACTTTACACTCTGCACTTTACACTTTACACTCCACACTCTACACGTTACACACTACACTTTACACTCTACACTTCACACTCCACACTCTACACTTTACACACTACACTTTACACTCGACACTCTTCACTCTACACTCCATACTTTACACTTTACACTTTACACTCCCCACTCCTCACTGCACACTTGACACTCCACACTCCACACTTTACACTCCACACTCTACACTTTACACTCTACACTTTACACTCTACACTACACTTTCCACTCCACACTCCACACTCTACACTTTACACTTTACACTTGACATTTCCGTCATTTTCTTTGGTTTTCTCCTACCTTTTTGCTGCCGTTCCTCCACTTTCCTCCGTTTCTCCCTCCGTAACCGCCTGTAACCTCCCGTGACCTCCCGTGACCTCCCGGCCAGGATTTGGCCTAAAACGGCCGTTTTGCAATGATTTTAGAAGAGAAATTGAATTGGTCGTCGAGGGGCGTCAAATAGCAGAAATTTGCTCCCGTGACCTCCCGTGACCTCCCGGCTAGGATTTGGCCCAAAACGGCCGTTTCCCAATGATCCCAGAAGAGAAATTCAATAGCCGACCGAAGGGCCGCTAAATGGCAGAAAGTTGCTCCCATGCCTCCCAGTAGGATAGGATTAAAATCCTCCCCAAATGGTAGGCTTATTATAGACTTTGCCACATCCCTTTAACAAGACACACACACACACACATTGATTGGTTATGACAGTGTCCTCCACTTGTCAAAAGGCACCCTTTCATAGCTCCCAAGCAGTACCCCAAACTCGGCATTCGAGGTAACGGATGGTAACAGCATGTTTGTTTCGATGTTAGCCTAGCAACTCTTGCGCTGGTCATTGTGCCAGGGGTGGTCGCAACCAAACAGAAATAATCCATAAACTTGGATGTGGATAACTGCCTCCAAAATGGAGCCACTAAATTATGTCTTCTAGTTAGAGGAGCAACCGTGATATGAACAATCCTATTCGAGTTTAGCATAGGTTGGAATCCACTGACTGCCATAAACCATCCCCCAAATCACCAATTTTATGGATATATATATATATATATAAATATACTGTCTTTCATGGCTACCTGTGGGCCAGTGTCATGTGGCATTCGCATTTTTGCTACCCAGGTTTTCAACGATTTTCCTTCCTTTTCTGTCGCTTTTTTCCTACCTGGCATTCCTCCATTTTCCCCCTGTTTTCAACGATTTTCCTTCGTTTTTTTCCTACCTTTTTCCCGTCATTCCTCCATTTGCCTCCATTCTCCTCTGTTTTCAACGATTTTCCTTCATTTTCCTTGCTTTTTTCCTCCCTTTTTCCTGCCGGAGTCAACGGACCTAGGGGGAATCGAAGCCTACCGTCACCTCTTTGCGTAGTGGTACATGCCCCCCAAAAAAGTTCAATGTACCCACCCTCCACTGCAACTAATTTCGAGATTTTGGCGCCATACGCGACGACCACCCCCCAGACCTCCTAATACTCACTTCGTTCGCCAAAAAAACTTTGCCTAGCCTATCGGCTGGCTTTCGTAACAGTTTCTAAGGGTAAAACTCTTCTATTGCCTATTCCTATTTCTAGCTTTCGAGACTTCATGTTTGAAATTGAAGATGATGTCAGAACTTTGTGCACTTCACCGGACTTCACCTTGGCGATATTACGCGATGGCTCTTGCCTCAATCGACCACCGGGGTGCAGCAGCACGAAAAGGCACTCTGGATAGCCTGGCGCACAAGGCGCATCAAGGCGCATGAACCAACTTGAGAGGGGAACACGAAAGGTAGGTAAGCAAGAAAGGAACCGAAGAAAAAATGAAGGGGAAAGGGCAGGGAAAAAAACATAAAGTGGATTCTGGTAAAAGCGACGCAGCCATTTTCTTTCCAAAAATATGAAGGGGAGTCTGGTAAAAGCCACTGAAAGGCTTCGGCGATGTGGTTAGGGTTGGTGGTGGTTGTGGTGTTGGTGGTGTTGGTGCTGCTGATGGTGTTGGTGTTGTTGGTGTTGTTGGTATTGGTGTTGTTGGTGTTGTTGTTGGTGTTGTTGGTGTTGTTGGTATTGGTGTTGTTGGTGTTGTTGGTGGTGGTAGTGTTTCTGGTGTTGTTAGTGTTGTTAGTGTTGTTGGTGTGGTTGGGTTTGTTGGTGGTGTTGGTGTTGTTGGTCGTGTTGTTGGTGTTGGTATTGTTTGTGTTCCTGTTGTTGTCGTTGTTGTTGTTGTTGTTGTTGCTGTTGTTGCTGCTGCTGCTGCTGATGGTGTTGTTGTTGTTGTTGTTGTGTGCTGTTGTGTGCTGTTGTGTGCTGTTGTGTGCTGTTGTGTGCTGTTGTGTGCTGTTGTGTGCTGTTGTGTGCTGTTGTGTGCTGTTGTGTGCTGTTGTGTGCTGTTGTGTGCTGTTGTGTGCTGTTGTGTGCTGTTGTGTGCTGTTGTTCTGTTACACTCATAGACTGTTGTGTTGCTGTTTGGTGTGTGTTGTGGTGTGTTGTGGTGTGTTGTTGTGTGTTGTTTGTGTTGTTGTGTGTGTTGTTGTGTGTTGTTGTGTGTTGTTGTGTGTTGTTGTGTGTTGTGGTGTGTTGTGGTGTGTTGTTGTGTGTTGTGGTGTGTTGTGGTGTGTTGTGGTGTGTTGTTGTGTGTTGTTGTGTGTTGTTGTGTGTTGTTGTGTGTGTGTGTGTTGTGGTGTGTTGTGGTGTGTTGTTGTGTGTTGTTTGTGTTGTTGTGTGTGTGTGTGTTGTTGTGTGTTGTTGTGTGTTGTTGTTGTGTTGTTTTGTTGCGTGTTGCGTGTGTTGTTGTGTGTTGTTGTGCGTTGTGGTGTGTTGTTGTGTGTTGTTGTGTGTTGTTGTGTGTGTGTGTGTTGTTGTGTGTTGTTGTGTGTGTTGTTGTGTGTTGTTGTGTGTTGTTGTGTTATTGTGTGTTATTGTGTGTTGTTGTGTGTTGTTGTGTGTTGTTGTGTGTTGTTGTGTGTTGTTGTGTGTTGTTGTGTGTTGTTGTGTGTGGTTGTGTGTGGTTGTGTGTGGTTGTGTGTGGTTGTGTGTGTGGTTGTGTGTGGTTGTGTGTGGTTGTGTGTGGTTGTGTGTGGTGGTGTGTTGTGGTGTGTTGTGGTGTGTTGTGGTGTGTTGTTGTGTGTTGTTGTGTGTTGTTGTGTGTTGTTGTGTGTTGTTGTGTGTTGTTGTGTGTTGTTGTGTGTTGTTGTGTGTTGTTGTGTGTTGTTGTGTGTTGTGGTGTGGTGTTGTGTTGTTGTGTGTGTGTGTTGTGTGTTGTTGTGTGTTGTTGTGTGTGTGTTGTGGTGTGTTGTTGTGTGTTGTTTGTGTTGTTGTGTGTGTTGCTGTGTGTTGCTGTGTGTTGTTGTGTGTTGTTGTGTGTTGTGGTGTGTTGTTGTGTGTTGTTTGTGTTGTTGTGTGTGTTGTGGTGTGTTGTTGTGTGTTGTTGTGTGTTGTTGTTGAGTTGTTGTGTTGTTGTGTGTTGTTGTGTGTTGTTGTGTGTTGTTGTGTGTTGTTGTGTGTTGTTGTGTGTTGTTGTGTGTTGTGTGTGTTGCGTGTGTTGTGTGTGTGTTGTTGTGTGTGTGTGTTGTTGTGTGTTGTTTGTTGTCCCCCTGTGCTGTTAGTTTGTTGTTTTGTTGTTTTTCTTGTTGTCCTTGTCGTTGTTGTTGATTTGTTGTCTCTGTTTCTTGTTGTGTTGTTGTGTGTGTTGCTGTGTGTTGCTGTGTGTTGTTGTGTGTTGTTGTGTGTTGTGGTGTGTTGTTGTGTGTTGTTTGTGTTGTTGTGTGTGTTGTGGTGTGTTGTTGTGTGTTGTTGTGTGTTGTTGTTGAGTTGTTGTGTTGTTGTGTGTTGTTGTGTGTTGTTGTGTGTTGTTGTGTGTTGTTGTGTGTTGTTGTGTGTTGTTGTGTGTTGTGTGTGTTGCGTGTGTTGTGTGTGTGTTGTTGTGTGTGTGTGTTGTTGTGTGTTGTTGTGTGTGTTGTTGTGTGTTGTTGTGTGTTGTTGTGTGTTGTTGTGTGTTGTGTGTTGTGTGTGTGTTGTGTGTGTGTTGTGTGTGTTGTGTGTGTTGTGTGTGTTGTGTGTGTTGTGTGTGTTGTGTGTGTTGTGTGTGTGTTTTGTGTGTTTTGTGTGTTGTGCGTTGTGCGTTGTGCGTTGTGCGTTGTGCGTTGTGCGTTGTGCGTTGTGCGTTGTGCGTTGGTGTTGTTGTTGTTGTTGTTGTTGTTGTGGTCGTCGTCGTCGTTGTTGTTGTTGTTGCTGTTGCTGTTGCTGTTGGTGTTGTTCTTGTTGGTGGTGGTGTTGGTGTTGGTGTTACCCCTGCAGCGTTTTTGCTCGGTTCCGTAGTGGCCGAAAATCGTCAAATCGGTGGTGTTTTCGCGTGTTTTTGCATCTCTCGGAGCAAAAAACACCGTAAATACCAATGTTTTTGGCGGGTCGGAAGCCCAAAACCACGGTATTTACGATGTTTTTTGCCTCTGGTAGTAAAAAGCACGGTATTTACAGTGTTTTTTGGCCAGCACCTAGCAAAAACACTGGTATTTACGGAGGTTTCACCATGTAGCAAAATGTGGTTTCTTGATCCGAAAAGAACAAAAATACTGTAAATTACAATGTTTTGAGTCTGCTCTTAGGGTGCGTGGGAGGTGTGGAGGGGGGGGGGGTACTAAAATGACTAGCAATCTCCTGAAGAATCAGGTAACGGGGCTGGCCGCCCTCCCCTTTACTTCGTAAAGTAAAACTCAAGGTAGCCCCTCTGGAGCTACCTTTCGTGATGAGACTGCCAACTTGCCACAGCAAGCCTGCCACAGGTCCAGCACTGCACAGTACTGCTCCGCAGCCTGCTCGACAAGTGTTTTTTGCTTTGTTTCACTTGTTCACGTTTGTTCAAAGAAATGCATGCAGAAGCCCCTAGCCTGCTCGTGAACTGCTTCCGCCATTCTCGGCACATCATGTTCCAAGAAGACTTCCGCCTGGTCATTTTCACTGCGATCTCTATATTCAATTATATTCATATAATGTGGGTAAAACAATAATAAACCACCCGCTTGGGAATGGTTTATACCACATATTTTTGGTGATTTGGGGGATGGTTTATTATCACTTTACCCACATTATTACTTGGTTTCGTCTCATGCTGAAGTGATTTCACAACTGTAACCAATCCTCCAATGCGCCAAAAAAAATCTCCCAGCCTTTCGCCCACGTGGCGCCGAGTTTGAGGCATACTCGGCAGGAAGCCACTCCAGGGCAAATCCCGCGAATTGCCATTCAGCCATGTTTCAAACCCTGGCGGTCCAGCCTGATCTTTTAACTCCAGCTGTCTTGAACGATGAGGACTAACGTCTAGTGCTGGAAGTCCATTGGTTTTTTGTTGCGATTTCATAAATTCAAATGCCGTTTAGCAAAACTATGTAAAACCAATGTAATACCGCATAAATAGTAACAAATTAACATCAAATAACATTTCAGGCACGAGAATTGGGAACGAAGGTATTGTATCCTGACTCTGTGCAAGCCAACCATCGCACTCAGAAGCTCTCAGCTCTCACAACACATACAGTGACATACAGCATCTTAAATGTCGTTGTCTTTGAAGCCTCTTGGCGGCGCCAGAAATGTGGCAGAGCCAGGCACCAAACACTCATCAATACCTTCGCAGCTCTGTCATTTCGGGAGTCTGGCCAGCACGTAACGATATCAAGGTTGCTTGGAATAATCTTATATAATCTTATATACCTGTGTGGAACAACGGGGACGGGTTCCAAAACCAGGTCTGCCATCAAGACCATCCTTTTCTACTGCAATGGTGCAATGGTGCAATGGTGCTGCTTTTCAGCTAATTCCACATTGCAGTAGCTGCAGGGATCAACCGAAGCTGTCGAAGCAAATGTGTTCCTGTCCTAATCCTGTCCTAATGGAGTTTTAAGGCGCTGCCCCAAAGGCTGTAAGTTTCACAAAGACCATGAAAGAGCGAGGTTGGAAAAACGAGAATAAGAATCTGTCAAAGGTCCCAAAGTGAAGCGAGTGCGGCGCTGGCGCAAGTCCCTCTGGCTCAAAATGACCCTGCAGCTCTTTACAATGTGAGGTGGCGCCCAAGCGCCGACCGGAGGAGCGGGATCAGGGCATCAGCAGTGTGCTATCACTCTTGGTGGACCCCATGTGGATTTTAATGAGAACAAGCAGCCCTGAAACATTCCGGAACCATGGCAATTGAGAAGTCAGGTCGCTCCTAGCAATTGCGCCCTCTCCTCCCGCGTGACCTTTGGCATACTTTGCCTGCAGGATCAGCTCGCAGCAGATCCCATGCTACCTTGCACGTTGCTGGCTGGGCCATTGGCAGATGTTAAAGAGTGAGAATAATCCTGTGCTTTAGTTCTCAACTCCATCTTCCTCCTGGTAACATGAGACTGCTACAAGACTTCGGGCAGTCTCGACACTCGAGGCCGCGTCTCTGGATGACATAATCATGTGGATGAAAATCTGACTGGCTGGTATGTTATTGCCATTACACTTCAAGGACAATTTGCTGAATCTTCGGGTAGGAACTCATCAGTGTTACAATTCTAATTGATTCCAGCATCAATTGCTTGAAGTGGTCAAGTCTTCGGCTCGCTGTTCCAGGTCATCCAGAGAATCAAGAGTGTTTCTACCTGTCTGAGCAAATTCCACGCGCAGTATGAGATCCATGGGCTACATCGCCGTGACCTCTCGGCAATTCGCTTCAAGACACTGCCACTTGACGACACATAGAAAGCCATCTTCCGAACGCTCCTGTAATTACAGTTCGTAGAATATGAAGTGCTGGACCTACAAAGCCATGCCTCCAAGATCTTAGGGCAGCTCCATGGCATCTTTTGTAAGTCCACACGTCCACGTCTTTCCTGATGATCTGACAATGTCAATCCGAGTCAATCCGTGGCGAATCAGTCAGACACTACGGTACAAACGACCCGCTCACATCAAATTGGCCAACTGGCAAACGCTCATCTGAAATGTGGCTTCGACAGCCACTTCAGGCGAAGAGCAAAGTGCAGTTCAGCTGCTGTTTCCGGCTTCTGTGATTCGGCGACGCTTGCCTTGGCTGCGACACACATCATGTCAACTACCCTGCTGCTTCAAATATCCATGGGCGATGGCTGCATGTGGGCGTGCGGAAAATTGTTTTGTTGACGCATCTAGCTTTTGATTTTGCCAGTTGATCTCTGAAGTGCTGAGTTTGATTCGCACCCACACAAACTAATTCCAAATACGAAGCCCACACGTTCTCCAAAATTCCCAATGCCCACAATTGCTTCAAGTTGCGTGGCTTCTCTGGCGATTCCTTGGTGCTTCAATGCCTTTTAGATCCTTTTAGTTTCTGAATTGAAGTGGCTCAATTGTGATCGTAACCTACTATGAGCAAGCATACAAGCAAGCATACGGTGAGCTCAAGTGTAGCTAGATTTCAATCATTTCGATCTCAGGTCTGCTGCCACTGTCTCTTTGAGATTGGAAACTCTAGTCGGGTCTACAATTCTTTTGAGGCATAGTATAATTCTAACTTGGAATGCGTTCCTTCACTGCAACTATTTGTTCCACTGGATACATGGAGAAAGCAAGTGATCAGTTGCTGTGGAAACAAGGCCAAATAACAATGAAATACGGAATCTCATGAAATCTCAATTAATTCCAACCATGCTTAGACGAGCTTCAGGATCTATTTTCTTCACAATCTTCTCACATGTCTGCAAGAGCTTCTCCAACCCAGCCTCCTGCAGTACCTGAGGCCAACCAAATCAACCAATGAATTGACAGCCCCAGTGAAATCAACTGCAAAAGCATGGTGTGCCGATGGACTCTTGCATCTGAATAAACAAGTTGCTGTGAGAGTTATGTTTTTGGAGTTTTCACACAACCAGATTGAACATGTGTTAAAATCACGAGGTATCCAGTCTAGGAGTATCTCTGCTTGTTTCTCTTGTTTCTCACTACAAGCAAATTGGTCGCCAACAAATTGTCTCACTATAGTATCCCAACAAAACATAAGTCGAGTTGCATAATTTACATAATCAAAAACCTCTAAAAATCTCTAAGACTTGTTTGAGTGATTAAAGAGGGTTGGTAATGCATCACCAGCTCTGAGGCACGGCCGAAGTTCTGGCCTGATTGGACTGCTCCGCCCATGATGCCAGGTCGAAAAGAACATCTAGTACAACCTAGCTAGGCATAGCAGCATGAGTGTTGGAAAAACCTCATAGTTTATCCTCCTTCCATCCAGCTTGACGAATGGCTTGATGCATCAAGATGTTCCTTGATGGAAAAGTATGGAAAAATAAACTTCCACGCAGCTCCAAGCGGGTCCAAAGCAGGTCCAAAGCAGGTCCAAGCCTTGCGCCGCTTGCTACCAAGTGACATGTATCGTGATCCAAAGAGTGAAGGCCTGGACCACAAGGCATACAGTAGTGAAATGTGGAAAATGTGGATATGAAATGATATGAACACACAGTGCAACATACTAGTAGGGAACATCCCAAGCTTTGGTTGTCCCTAAATTAATCTAAATTACTACAGTGAACCGAAAATTGCCGTGAAAAAAAACTGCTGCGTGCTGGACACCTAGGATGTTGGAATCATGGGCCCGTCCAATCAGTCCACTCAGTGCACTCAATCCACTCCTCCAAGAAGCCAGCGGGGCTCCCAGCGTTCGCTGTGTTGGCCAACGGAGCCGTCAGCCTCGGTGGCGCATCACCAACTCCCATGGGCCAGGTAGATGGAGATCACATCCCAAAGAGATAATTCGTCCAAGACATTTTCCCACGCTGTGTTGCAAAGGCTTGAAAGAAAAATCGTCTTTGGCAATTGCAGTACTTTCGTCCTGCAGCAGCAAACAAGCAATACAATGTCATGACTATTTGTGCATCTATACACAAGTATACAACCTGAGAAGGGGAGACGAAAGCCAGCCCCGAGCCCGAATCTTTTTGTTTCCGCAGAGAAATGTCGTGGTAGTTGTCTAATGTTGTTTAAATGGGCTACTCTGTTGATCCCTATAGTAAGCATCCTCAACCCACTGGTTAATCATCATATTTCAAACTCAATCGTCATATACAAAAAGCCCAAACGTCCTCTTACAATCACCCCAAACGTCCTCTTACAATCCCGTACGAACTAGATTAGAAGCCCAAACCATCTGCAGCACCTTTGGAATTGTTATCCTGGCTTTGCAACCCTTCTCCACCCCTTCCTCAGTATCACTTCTCATCCCCTTGCAAACTATCTTGTTCCGAACCCCAACGGACGCTGCTCTCGGTTATCACCTCAAACGTCCTCTTACAACCCCGTATGAACTAGATTAGAAGCCCAAACCATCTGCAGCACCTTTGGAGGACTTCTCCTTGCTTTGCAACCCTTCGCCCCCCCTTCCTCAGTATCACTTCTCATCCCCCTGCAAACTATCTTGTTCCGAACCCCAACGGACGCTGCTCTCCGTTGAGCTTCGGAGTTCCTCCATGTTCCTCCATTTTCCCCCTGCTTTTCACGATTTTCCTTCATTTTCTTTCGTTTTTTTCCAACCTTTTTCCTGCCGTTCCTCCACTTTCCTCCGTTTTCCTCCTCCGTAACCTCCCGTAACCTACCGTAACCTCCCATGACCTCCCGTGACCTCCCGGCCGGGATTTGGCCCCAAACGGCTGTTTCGCAATGATCCCAGAAGAGTTCCCGTGACCTCCCGGCTAGGATTTGGACCAATATGGCCGTTTCCCAATGATCCTAGAAGAGAAATTCAATAGCTGACCGAAGGACCGCTAAATGGCAGAAAGTTGCTCCCATGCTTCCCCATAACCTCGCATAGCCAACTGTCACCTCCCTCCCATACAGAGACAGACACAGACACAGACAGACATACACACAGCACTCTACACTTTACACTCTACACTTTACACTCTACACTTTACACTCTACACTTTACACTCGGCACTCTACACTCCATACTTTACACTTTACACTTTGCACTCCTCACTCCTCACTGCACACTTTACACTCCACACTCTACACTCCACACTCTACACTTTACACTCTACACTTTACTGTACACTCTACGCTCTACACTCCGCACTTTACACTTTACACTCCACACTTTACACTCCACACTCCAGGGCCGCTAGATGGCAGAAAGCTGCTCCCATGCTTCCCCGTAACCTCGCGTAGCCAACTGTCACCTCCCTCCCATGCAGAGACAGACACAGA